CATCGTCGGAATCTGAGTTGATATCTCTCTGTACATATTTCTGCCCACCCGTCTGTTCTGCCCTGGGTGCATGATGCTTCTCAATAGTCATCGCAGTTAGCATCTGCGTGATATTGCGAAGAGCTTCATCCATCCCTTCTAGTCGTTGCTCAATTTTTTCAAACCTCCGTTCGTTGTCGGTGGTTTGTTTGCCACTCGAACTGTCCTCAGCCATCAGATTGAGGTGAATTCTTTGCTCTGATATCAATTTTGGTGCGGAAGCGTTTAGAAATTCTTGTAATAAGAATTGAAAATAAGAATTATATTGGAATAAACTTACTTTTTATTGATATATGATTGATTGAATAAAAAGCGTACAATACCTCTATATTTATAGGCCAAATTATCCATAATCCTATTAATAAAAGGAAATTAAAATAAGGAAACTAAATTCTAAAAAAAATAAACTAATCCTAATCTAAATAAAATTTAAGAATAAACCTATTACAATTAGAAAAAGAAATTAGAAAAGATAATTTAAAAAAGATAAACTCCTAGATAAAGTGGAACTATTAATTGTAGTTGTGATGTACTACATCACGTGTTATTTGCATGAAGTGATTTTTCACATATTCAGATATCATTTGAAGATTGTATATAATATTAGTAGTATTAGGGAACAGTAACAAAAAAAAAATATGGGATAGATAACAGGATGAAATTAAACAAGCAAAACATGCAGTAAGCACATTGTACCTTCTGGTTTAGTGTCAGTATGTTGCATCTTTTCAAGTGGTTTGGTTAAGTTTCTACATACTTTCGAGTCTAGAAGCATGTTGATCTCTTTCGATTTGCACGAAATATGATAGTTTATATAGAAAAATGCAATGAAACAGAGAGATTTTCCATACATCCCTTTTCATTCAATATAAAACTCACTGAGAGTTGATAATGTTACCTTGACTTCCGAAGTTGAATTGCTCGATTGTAGCTGATCCTCCGTGGCTTTCTTGTATCGTTCAATGACTGACTTCATGCTGCATAAATAGTGCAAATTGTAGGTGATGTTTACATAACGTAATTGTTTCATTCACCCTTATACAATACAAGTGAATCTAAATAGATCAATGTGATCCATTTGAAAGTATTTCTTCGCATGTTAAGTAAATTATAAACTCATTCCTTGAGTAGTTAAGTAATAGTATATCCTCCTTTTGCTGGGATATATGCTCTAATAGTTTAGCATATAATATCTGACGTTTCACCTATTATTGTTATGTAAGATAATCCTATGAAAGTTGTGCTATGTGTTTTACCTTACAATCTTGAATTAAATGTTAAGCTTTTCCATGCAAGTTGTTCAAGATTCATTCCTTTGAAACTATGACGAGTTAAAGCATCACGAATATTTCCTCTTGGGAATTTATCCACAACTATGTTACGTACTCCTTGCTCTATTGCTTGACACTGATGCATATTGAATTAAAGTGTATCCTTGTGTTTCTCACGTTCTTCCAAAGGTCAACTCCTACTAATGGATTATAGGTATCTATCCATTATTATTATTTTAACGTCCTTCTTGTTTGAAAAGTTGAAAATTTGTGAAAGGAATCATCCAAAGTCGTCCATGGCACTTGAAAGAAATGTAAATTGTTATTCTGCCTCTTTAACTTATATTAGGATTGATGTATCATGAGGATTGATTATTAATGTGGCCTTTAACACAAGATTCATGGATCAAATCTTAGATCTAAGTCTTACTGAGTTAAAAAAAATTATATTCTATTGTAGAAATATTAGATCCCTGATTATTAGGGATACAACTACAACAATTAGGATTTTATTATTTGACACGTTAATTTAGGAGTAAAGAGATTTTGGAAGATTCATATTATCTCTATTCATGTGTTACCTATTTATAGTTTCCTGTGTTTGTTAGTTTCCTGATTTTGTGTAAACTAATTTATTATTACTGAATATAGTGAAAGGAATTTTTCTTCCTTCCATTATATATAGATTGTATGTTTATCACTGAAATATATGGTAATAACTTCTTTGTTCTTCTCTAAAATCTTCATGGTATCAGAGCCACCTCTAAACCTTAGATAGCAAAGTACATGATGACAATGGATAGGTAATGTCAATCCCGCTCCGAAGTCGACTCCCGTCATGAAACCTCGGCACAGGAAGCAATGGAGGATCAGATGGAAATCTTCTGCCTGTTACAGAGTACAAACCCAATGGACATAATTACCTTCAGTGGTCACAATTAGTAACGATGTTCATTTGCGGAAAGGGAAGAGATGACTACCTCACTGGAGTAGTAGCCCCGCCAAGCAAGGAAGACCAAAAGTATAAATCATGGAAGTCGGAACAATATGTTGATGTCCTGGCTAATCAACTTGATGACAAACGAAATAGGAGAAAATTTCCTATTGTATGGGAGCGCAATGGAAATTTGGGGCGTAGCCAAAGAAACATGTTTCTGCTTTGAAAACTCATCAGAATTGTTCGCCATTGAAAGTATTCTTCACGATCTATGCCAAGGAGATCTTACAGTCACTCAATACTTCAACACTCTCACACGGAATTGGTAGCAATTAGACATATTTGAAGAACATGATTGGACTGGCAGAAGATGGAACCAAATTCCGAAAAATCATTGAAAAGAAAAGACTTCATAAGTTTATGCTGGGCCTCAACAAGGACCTTGATGAAGTTCGGGGAAGAATCATGGGGTTGAAACCGCTACCTAGCATTCGAGAGGCATTTTCAGAAGTTCACATGGAAGAGAGTAGAAAGATAGTGATAATGGTACCACCAACTATTGCTCACAGCCCTGAAGGATCTGTACTTTCAGTTCAAGGCTTTCAACTACAAGCTGGAGACAATGGACAATGAAAAGGACGACCTTGGTGCGATCATTGCCAAAAGACTGGTCACACTACGTCCACTTGCTGAAAGATCAATGGAAAAACCTGCTGACTGGAAGTCTTCACATCCACTTAACAATAGAGTAAGCCATGTACATCTACCCTCATATGACGGGAACCATAATAGCCAGAACAAAGTTTATTCAGCTAAGAACAAATGGAGCTCTTGAAAAAATTGATCAACTAGCAACCATCCTCTAGTACCTCAAATCATTGGAACTGGGTCCATGGCTCACAAAGGTAAATTTTTAAATGCTTTTAGTGCAACAAGAGAGAAAATCAGCCCATGGATTGTGGACTCAGGAGCCTATGACTGGAGATGCTACATTTTTCAGATCCATGTCATGAAAAATTTTCTGTTAGAATTGCGGATGGGTCTCTCTTAAGAGTAACATGAATAGGTTCTAATATCAAAGAACCTCAAACTAAACTCCGTCCTCTTAGTCCTAAACATGGATTGCAATTTACTGTCCGTTAGTAAACTCACTCAAGAGTTTAACTGTTACTAAATTCTTCCCATGCTCGTTTGAATTCGGAGAAGACGATTGGCAATGCTAAGATGTGCTCTGGCCTCTATATCCTCAATGTTGATGATCTTCTAGAACAACGAACTCACCACGCAAATTCAAATAAGACAAATAATCAGTCTACAAAAATCTCTCTGTTTCTTGTTCAATAATGATAGTACAACTTTATTATGGCACTACAGACTAGGTCATCCAAATTTCTTGTACCTTCAAAAACTTGTTCCTTCATTATTCAACAATAAAAATTCAAAAGATTTTCAGTTTGAAATTTGTCAATTTTGCTAAACATGCTCGTAACTTCAATTTAATTCGACCATATAAAAAATCACATCCATTCTCCATGATCCATAGTGATGTCTGGGGGCCTTAACGTATCACAAATATTACTGGGACACACTAGTTTATTTTATTTGTAGATGATCACACTAGGATCACTTGGGTGTTTCTCATGAAGGAAAAATCATAGGTTGAACAAATTTTCAAGAACTTCAATACTATGATTCAAACCCAATTCCATACCACAATACAAATCTTTAGGACTAATAATGCTAAGAAATATTTCAACAACATTCTCGGAGACTATCTACGAAGTCAAGGCATAATATACCAAAGTTCATGTGTCAATACTCGACAAAACGGAGTAGCAGAAAGGAAAAATAGACATTCTAGAGGTTGCTAGAGCACTTGTGTTTTCCACCCATGTCTCCCAAAATACTTCTGGGGGAAAGCCTTACAGCAACTTATCTCATAAACCGAATGCCTTCCCCGTGTCTTAAACTTCCAAACAACGTGTCAAATCCTTCTATTCTCTTATCCTAACACCCGAATTGTCTCAACTATTCCAGTTGAAGTATTTGGATGCTCAGTGTTTTTCCATGTCCACCAACATAGAAGTAAACTCGACCCCAAAGCACTCAAGTGTATAATCCTGGGTTATTCTCAAACCAAAATGGGTGCAAAAGGATTCTACACTTCCATGGATGTTACTTTCTTTAAACCTCAACCTTACTACCCCGAAATTGATATTCAGGGGGAGAATCTCATTCAAGAATTTCAACTTTGGGAAGTAGATGCCACAACAACTAACCACCCAAGTCCACAAGTCAAAGTCCTTCATATCTCAACCACTCTTACTCCTACTCAAAACCATATTCACCAAACCGAAATTGAATATGAAAACCTTCCATCTCTTTTAACTCCTGTCCAACATCTAAGACCTGCAACCAATAGGATTTAGAGCAATAAGCACCTCCCGAGCAAAGTCAAGAATTCGACCCGAATACAAGAACACGTGCAATTTCACTTGGTAACACTAGATTTGAATTCATCACTAATGAACCTACTGTTAATGATCTTGATTGTCCCATTGCTTTAAGGTGTGAGGTCATGTACCAGTCATTCAATCTGCAAATTTGTCTCTTATAAAAGGTTGTCTCCAACCTACCAAACATTTGTGGCAAACTTGAACAAAGTGCAAGTTCCCAACTCTATCTAAAAAGCTATGTTAATTCTAGAATGGATGTAGTATGGGCAAATATGCAGGCAAGAAAGAAAAATGGAACTTGGGAAATTTTGGAGCTATCGAGTGGGAAAAATCGTGTAGGATGTAAATGGATATTCACCATTAAATACAAGTCTAATGGAAGTGTGGATAGATTTAAAGCGTGACTGGTTGCAAAGGGTTTCACTTAATCTTGTGGAATTGATTATCAAGAAACGTTTGCTCCGGTTGCAAAATTAAACACAATTTGGGTACCACTATCATTGGCTGCTTATCTTGCCTTGCCTCTTCACCAACTTGATGTCAAAAACGCCTTTCTCAATGGAGACTTGATAGAAGAAGTCTATACGGACATTCTTCTTGGTTTTGAAACACATGCACCATGAATAAGGTATGCAAACTCAATAAATCGATTTATGGACTGAAACAATCCCCGAGGGCTTGGTTTGACATGTTCAACAAAACTATGAAGAAGTATGGGTATTTGCAGTGTCAAGCATAAATCACACTTTGTTTATCAAATACTCAACCGAACGAAAATTGGCAATTCTCATTGTGTATGTAGATGATATCATCTTAACAGGTGACTATAAAGACGAACTGATCAAGATCAAAACTTTACTTGCCAAAGAATTCGAAACCAAGGGCCTTGGGAGCTTAAAATATTTCCTTGGAATGGAAGTAGCCCGATCAAGAAAGGGGATTTTTGTGTCACAAGAAGTATTTACTAGATCTTCTTAAAGAGACAGGAATGCTTGGTGCAAACCAGTAGAAACACCTATGGACTTAAGTACTAAGCTTGGACCAAATAAAGATAGCATTCCAGTGGACAAGACAGATGTCAAAAACTTGTTGGAAAGCTCATTTATCTCTTACACACTAGACTAGATATTGGATTCTCGGTTAGTGCAATAAGCCAATTCATGAATGATCCAACTGAAGAACATATGGAAGCTGCCAACAGAATATTGAGGTACCTCAAAACGACACTAGGTAAAAGCTTATACTTTTGGAAAACTATAAGAAAAGACGCTGAAGTGTTCACTGATATTGATTCGGCCGGGTCTAATTGACAG